CTTTACAGTGAAAACTGGGCAGTCCTACTCATGGGTAACACTTACATAAGTATCCTCCTCACCAATCACAAGGCTGATTTCCCTGGTATGTTAAGTGGTTTCAAACATATACTGTATGTTCTGACATTGTATACAGTGTATATATGTATATAAATGTATATAATGCATAATTTAAGCAGGGTTTGCTGTGCTACAGGTTAGTAAAGACTTGTTGCTAAACCTTTACTAACCTTGTCTTTGTTAATACAAAATTTCTGTTAGTCCTCCTCTAGCCCTTCTCCAGTCGTCAGTTTCTGACCACAGAGTTGCTCTTGGCTGGATATTCTTGGGTGGTGGGCCGCTCTCTACTTGGCATTGACACTGACGTGTAAAAAATTCCAGCAACACCACTGTGTCTGATACACTTATACCAGCACCATCACAGACACTACCATACGACTACAGTGTCAGCATTGCTGCTGTGCTGTGAATGATCCATCACAGATAATATCTGGACAACATTGGTGCTGTGGTCAGAAACTGACCAGTGATTAATGGTTTAGAGCCATGATTACCGACCCAGGTGCTAGAGATGTGCCCTCCTGCAGAGTACAGTTCCAGCCCCAATCTGCCAAAACTGCTCCAGGTATTTCAACTTCTTGAGAGGTCATTGATTGGCTGATCAGATGCATTAGTTTTAGGTGGGTATGTTAGATGTAGATTGGAACCATTGGAACTAATCTCTGCAGGACAGTGGATGTCCAGGAGGAGGCTTGTTGAGCACTGGTTTAGTGAGAGCTGATAAATTGTGCAGGAACAGATGTCTTGCATTGTGTAATCGTAGATCTATATAGTGGAGACATAAAGGGGATGAAGCATATAAATTGATTTCTCTTTTTTTGTGACATCACAAAGAACAGAGAGTAAACTTTAAGCTCTGAGTAAGTTTGGCTGGGAAAACAACAATGGTAGACTTCAGTAAACTCGAGTTTTGAACTCCAGCCTGTCCATGTTCCCTTGCAGTCTCTATCTTTCTGCCAAAGACTGTGGTGGTGATCCACGCCAAAGTAACTTTACTATGGTGTTAGCTTGGAGAGATCATTTGGACAGGGATATCAGAGACTTTCAGTGGTCATTCTGATAAGCAAAACCTCACATAAAAAAATCCAGTAAATGCTATTATTTTACATAGATTATATGTTTTTATGCAGATACATATTTCAGTAGTGAATTCTCTTAGTGTTATTAAATGACTAGCTTTGTCCATTTTTATGGGGTATACGATCCCTGTTGAGGGGTACCTAGGTTTTCAAAAGGTTGTAATGCAAATAAGAATGATGATTTGAAATAATGTATTAAAGACTGAGCAGATAGTCAAATATTGTGCCAATTTGTGTGACAGTGCTAGCTTAAAAGTCATGCAAATGTACACCTTTGACATGTTTAAAGCATTTGTTTTGGCCAAAAGATGTTGAATATGTGGTTTTAACAATTGTTCAAAAATATGACGGTGAAAAGTTTGTGTAAAAGCTGCTCCTCTGAGCAAAGATACGTATATGAACATGAGGCTGAGTATGCAGAATATTTAATTGTTAAATGCTGTGATGTTATGACTCTTGGTAATCATATAGACAGTGTTTCCTCAGAATATCCTGTCTTCTGTTTGAGTCCTCAGGCTTTGAATGGCTGGTTCATGATTCTTCTGACTTTCTCCATCCATTTTGTTGCTGGCCGTCCTCTTCCTATTTTATGTAACTGCTTTCCAATGAATTGGTTTATCTCATAATGTGTCTAAAATAGAGCACTTCACTTTAGTTATGTAGACTTTGAGTGAGAAGTGAGGCTCGACTTGCTGAAGGATCCATGTCTTGTCTACTTTGTCATCCAAGGTACTCTCTCTCTTTGCCAGCACCAGTTCAAATTAGTCAGTGTTTGTCCGCTTCTTGACCAGCTTTCACATCCATAAAGAACCACAGAGAAGACAATTTGAAGACCTTTTCATCCTCATTCTGTCAAGTGCCAATTTGTGTTGTATTTCTTGACTGCTGGATCTGTTTATGTTAATAATTGATTCAAGTAATCAGCAGCTGTCTACCATGTCAGTGGTAAAGTGGTCTTTACTGGTGTCATAACCTTTGTTTTCATCGTATTAAGCTGAAGTTCTATCTTTAACTTATAAGGGCCTTCAGATCTTCTTGACTTTCCACTATGAGTATTGCGTCGTCTATAAATCAAAGGTGAACATTAGAGAGATATATTGAAGGAAGCTTTGGTCTGTTGGGTTAACAAAGTCCTTTAGCCTATGTTTAGCCTTTAGCATAGCAGTCCGCGAGCTGCTTCTGTGTCCTCTGGCACTGCCTTCAGCATGGCTTCTGTGAGCCAGCTGCATTAGACAACGCCGTGGTCCAAGGTCTGGTGTTTGCATTCAGCCAGGAATCAAGAACTGGTGCTTGTAGCATAAAGGATTGTAATATTCACCAAACTACATTAGTGTCTGACGCACAGAGATGTAAGCGATACTGCATGGGAAGCACATAAGAGACAAAAAACTTGAGAAATTTGGAAGTAAACACTTTTAGCACCATTTTTTGCCAAGTCTGAGAAGCTTCTGTATGCTTATGCGAACCCTCCACATGTTATTTATATATTTATATACTGTTCAGTTCTGTTTTTACTAATTATAATAGTAGTATATATGTAATATATATTCTAACAAGTAGATCAGTCCCTGGTATTGGCATATCCCGACTGGCTTCAAAGCTGGCTACCATTAGCAATCGCTAGCTAAATAGCAGCTTCTAACCTGAAAAAGCCTACATTTTAGATGAACAGTTAGCAATATTGCCATTTTTTAACTAATATTCTGCTATTCACTTAAGAGGTCTAAAGGCTCCTTTAAATACAGTCTTAAAAAAGATGGTTCTTTAAGGGTGCTTTATTAAAGCAAATTGTTCTATATAGAACCAATAACACTCTTTTCATGATCAAGGGGTTCTTTGAATCATTAAAGAGTTCCTCAGATTGATGGAGAATGTGCTATAAATGTTTCTATATAGAACCTTTTTGAAAAGGGTTCTATAAAGCACCAAAAATTGTTCGTCTATTGTTACAGTGTGAAGCCTTTACGAAAAGGGTTCTATACAGAACCATAGAAAACACACTGTGCATCAATCTGAAGAGTTCTTTCACCATGCAAAGGGTTCTTTGAGTGTTCATGGTTTTATATAGAACCATTTTCTATTCTAAAGAACCCTTGAAGAACCTGTGAAGGCCTCAAAGCCAAGTGAATAAACCCTGTACACAGCTTCATGTTGAGCTTGAGCACATGGGGAAAACACATATTTTGATTGTTTTCCCAGCAATACTGATGTAGATAGAACCTCCTAACACCAACGTAGCTGTTTTTAAAAATGAACATTTACTATTTAAACCTTGTACAATTGTTTGTTCCTTGCCACAGCATCAATAATCAGCTCTAATTTGCATAACTCATGTGCACTCATATTTGATAAAGATATTTGATAGAAGTTCATGAGCCCATGACATATTGATTATCTACTTGAGTTCTTTTTTTTTTTATTATCCTGTGTACAATATAAGTGATGTCTCTTGTTCCTCTCTCTTTTCTAAATCCTGTTTACACATTTGTCACTCTTTTATTGTAAGTTGCAGGATATGCTTAAAGTGTCATCAAATGAGCTGTTCTATAATAGCAAAACCCTCGGAGGTTTTTTTTTCTTACAGTAAAAAATCTAATCATATAAAAGCTGGTAAGGTGTTTTGATGTGCATAGTATAGACTTGCACATTCTTTGGGCAGTGATTAGGCAAACTCACGCGTTCTACCGTGACTGTAAATCCTCTTTACTTTGTCACTGCCAGTAAAATGAATAGTGACAAATGACTCAGGGCCATCAAACATTGAAATTGTACCAGAGTCCGTCTGTGAGTGTGACTGTGTGACCTGTGGGTGGGTGGTTTGTGTGTGTACTTGTGTGCTTTAGAGGACATTTGTTGTTCTCTCTGAGAGAAGAAACATGTGTAATCATTAACTCAGACTTCAGTAAAGAACAGCTTGTAAGCTTGTGTAGCAATAATGCAGAGTATTGAGCAAAGTCATTGTAAACTGCTTTGGGACAATTTAAGTGCGTTAAGTCCAATTTCAGTGGTGCACCTTTAAAGTGGTAGTTAGGTAATAAATAAATAAAAAATAAATAATCGAATAAATGAATAAATGAATGAATGAATGAATGAATGAATTAATGTACACAATGTTCCCCTGATCCCAAAACAGCCAAGCTATGTTTAATGCTTTGCTTCATCAGTTTTGCACTGGAGTCACAAAGTTAATGTGGCTAACAAGTACTAGAATCTTCTAGCCCAACCAATTAGCACTGTACTAACTGCATACATAGATAATCACACCCTTGCCTCAAACTGTGATGAGTTATGAAGTCATAGACTTGCTTATGTGGTTTCACATGACACTTTGTGACATATCTATAAAAATGGACAGACATATGTAGCATAGCTAAAAGCTGTAGCAGCAGCTTGATTTTTTTTGATGACAATATTTTATACAGTCTCAGAAACCACACTGTGAATCTAATCGAACTGTCTAACTGAAGAAGGACAATGCAAAATACATATAGTTTTGTTGGGTAAATTGTCTGGGTTTGATTTGATTGGTCAAGACCATGTAAAAATAAAGGTGTCAATAAAATAAATAAAGGGTTCTTCGGAGTGATGCCGTAGAAGAACCACTTTTAGTTCTCTGAAGAACCTTTCAACCTTTCTTTAAAGAGTAAATGGAATGCATGAATGTGGAGCACCGTATATACATAATATAAAGGTTCTGCAGCAGTTGAGTTTAGTTTTTTCTAGAAATGTGCGCCCAAGAGCCACTATGTCATTTGTTCATGTATGTAGGCCCCATCACCTAAATGATGTTTTGAAGTGACCTTAACATCAGGGTAATATCAGGGTCTCTTGGGTCATTTTCTGCTGAGTCTATGGGTTAATTTTTTGTTGAAGTTTTGGTAAGGACTATGAGTCATGCTGTGAGTAAGAGGGCGGTCTTTTTTTGTTGCAGTTTGTGATGGAATGGTGTGTTTGCATAGCGAACCGTTATCTCCATCCCTGCACAGGACCTTGATCGGATAAATATCCTGCAGGAGCAGTGGTCACTCACACTAAAGGAGCACCACCGTGACTGCCGGATCAAAATGATCACTTTCTCGCAAACGGTCGCCTCTGTTCTGTTTCTGTGTGCGTTAACAACAGCGGTAAGCAATAACTTCTATTGAAAAAAAGTGTTGCTTTTTACTTGTTCGATGTATGGTTCTATGTAAAAGTTTGAACGCTTCCAGTTCAATTAGATTTTCTCAGTGAAAATAAGTTAACGCTTGATCTACAGGGAAAACACTTAAATATGGCATTTTATTACAAATATTATTGCACAGTTTCTGTATATTTAAGGAGTTTAACATGAATGAATACAGAAACAATTAAATATAAAATGTGCTGAACCTTTTACACAGTTTAAACACTATGTTTTATCTTTCTTCCAATATGGTAAAACTTATTTTATTTTAAAACTTCTTTTTAGTTAATTAACAAAACATGTCATTTGATCAGGGGTGCCTAAAGTTTTGCATACGACTGTAGATTAGGTTCACATGCATCCAATAATTGTATTGATGTAATATTGTAATATATTTAATTCATGTGAACATTTAAAAGGTATACATTTGGAATATATATATATATATATAGTGATTGTGTAATTAGAACTAGGGATCCACTGATATGGGAACTGGGGGCTGATGCTGATATGATATTTTTCATGTACATTTCTGTACTGATACTGATAGATAAACATTTATAAAATGTAGAAATTGGGATTAAATCCACAAATAGATCAGTGTTGCAGAGGAATGTAACATTTATTTTTCTATGATTATAAATATGTCAAAATCAATAAAATGCACATCCTTTAGCACAAGTAGTTTAGCGTCACCTAATCTTTCTGTTTTTTTTTCCAGAGTACAATAAACGCATCATTAAATGTTGGTTTGAAATGTTGGTCAAATCTAAACATCTGTCCAATGCTGATCATTTTTAAGTGATTAGTCACTGACACTGATATGATTTTGATATGCAGGTGCATCCCAAATCGAAGATAACATTTTGTTATCAAATTATTCTTAAGTCTGAATACGCTTGAATGTCCTTAGTGAAGATTTTTATCATTTTATGTTATACAGCAAAGGGGAGACTACTCATTACCTCCAGAGGCCTGTACCCCAAGTGATGGCTTCGTAAGTACAAGTATATTACAGTTACAACCAATTAATTGCCATTCGCTTTTTATGATATGCATATTTATGCTATTTATGTTACAGATGATTTCAACTATATAAAGCCAGTTACTTTGCAGATGAATGTACAAAACAATTTAGTATGCTAGTCCTGTGCAACCTCACAGTTTTAATGTAATGAGTATTAAGCTAGCACACTGTATATAAAAATAAAGAAATGTCCAGAATGATGGATGGAGCTGTAGATGTTTCCAAAATGACAGAGAAAACTGGATAATATTGAGAATTAAGTTCTAATAAAATTAAAATCCAAAATATGTTTGGATCCAACATTAATCATATTTTAAAACTGGTGATCAGATCATAGACAGTCTTGATAATTGATAATTACAGTTGATTATTTTATCATTGAATATCTTGTAACATGCAATAAAGCACCTAAAGTTATATGCTATCTAGTATATAGTATTTAAATCTGCGTTAAATTAGTTATTATTGAACATAGAATAACAAAAAATAGTATATAATGAGTGATTTTAAGCTTTTAACAATGCTGAAAGCAAATGCCCTGAAACCTCAAACTCTTCAAGCAATGCTAAGATGATTCTGGCTTTTCCTTCAGGGCAAATACTGTCCCACCACATGCGGGGTAGCAGATTATCTTCAAAAGTACAAACCTGGGGTGGTGAAGGACCTGAACGATATGGAAGAGCTTCTGCTGGATATTGCCAACCTCACTAAAGGAGCTCAGGACAGGGTGGTCTACCTCAGAGACTCTGAGACACAGGCTCAAAAGGTCACGCCAGGTACACCTTGTCCTCCATATCTCTGTTCCACAGAATATACAGGAAACTGGCCACGTAGGTTTAGTGGAATGTCCAGTCTGAGGGTTTACTGTATGAAATGTATTGGCTTCAGAATTCTAGAGTTATTTTGTGAAGTTTCTGTATAGTGTTAATAATTGCATTAATATGGAGGAGCTGATTTGAAAGCATGATCGCTACCTATCTCAGAACAGAGAGCAGATGTGTTTGACTAGTGGCTAGAATATAGTTAGTGCTTATATAGTGAAGTACATTCAAATAAATCCACTCTGTTTCTTTCTGTAAATGAATCTCTCCCAGATACACACATTCAGAAATCGAGAAGCATGCTGGATGACGTGGTTCGCTTTGAGAAAAGCATTCTAGCTCAGGAGGAGCAAATATAGTAAGTATCTTGCTGTACATTTGCATAGAAGTGTGACACGAAATTTAAAATTGATGATAGATGCTTTTTAAAGCAATCCAAACTGAATTACCTAATACACATGCAGTGTTTGCTATCCATTTAAAAAAAAAACATTTTTAGTTATAACTTAGAAATGATAATAATTATTATGAATTTTAATATGTTGGTGACAACAGGTGACAACATTTTGCAGTTTTAGCTCACTTTTAACATGCAGTCCACATTATTTGTTTTTACTTATTTATTTAATGTAATTTATGTACTTGAGGGTAACTAGTTGTTAGCTTCAGTGTGACAGTCTTTTTATTTGCAATGTTGAAGGCTCACTTTGTGTGCTTTTCTCACATTTTTATTTATTCCTTTATTCATTCAGTATCCTGCAGTCCACCCTGGCAGCCAACGACAAGCGAATGCTGGAGCTGAAACAGCTGGCTCTTCAGCTGGACCAGAAGTGCAAGATGCCATGCAAGGACACGGTGGAGATCCAGCCCATCACAGGCAAAGGTAGCGAAAACATCCAGCTTGTTTAGTTCAACTCGTTAGCTACGCTGTAAAAAACAGAGGTTGCTAAATGCTTCTTGAATGAACATATGGTTCTAGTCTTTAATTGTTTAATTATGTGAAGGTACTTTGAAGAGGTTCTTCACAAAATGGTTCTCTAAAGAGCCATCCACTGGAAACTAAAAGTGGTTCTTCTATGGCCCCTAAGAACATTTTCAGCACTTTCATTTCTTAAGAGTGTATGACACGTATCACTTTTCTTACTCAGACTGCCAGGATGTTGCAAACAAGGGTGGCAAAGTCAGTGGCCTGTACTACGTCCAGCCTGCTAGAGCGCCCTCACCCTTCCTTGTCTATTGTGAGATTGATAGCTTCGGCCGTGGATGGACAGTGCTGCAGAGGGTATGGAGAGCACTTTCATTGAAAATATGAACGCTTTAAAAATTCTGATTGGAAATTTGTCCAGGTAGACACAAAAATTTGCAAGCTGATGTGGCCACAATAATAGAAACATGTTTAATATTTACACATTATATTTACAAATAACCGCGTACTTCAGTACATTGATAAGAATATTGCTGCTGTGGTGATTGTGGTGGTCCCTGCCTGCCAAGCTGGTCTGCCCTGATGTCATCCAATCAGGTTATTTCCTTAAGCAATAGACTCTGAGACCTTGTTTCATAAAGTTGCATTAGGAAACTTCAACCAATGGAACAACATCTGTAATTCCAGGAGGACCAGCCCAGCAGGGGGGGCTACCATGATCACCACATCATCACATTAGCAATCACAGTGGTTTGATTTGATGCAGTTATTTTGCTGTCTGATTGAACCGGTTTGTTGAAGGGAAAAAGAAAAGAATGTTCTCCAAGGCAAGTGGCCACTCTGTAGCTAAAGGCTCTGCACTTCTACTGGTCAAAATGTGAAAATCTCAGCTGCCCTTTTCATCGTAGGAACATTTTCTGATAAATCGACCAATAGAAATGGCCCAGAATTACTTGCAATAAAATCCTATGACTGTTAAGACAGTTTTGTTATGACAGTGCAGGTCCATGAGCCAACTTTCCGTGTGTTTTCCAGAGACGTGATGGCTCCGTCAGCTTCAACAGAGACTGGGCTCCGTACAAAGAAGGCTTCGGCTATCTCTCACCTGACGACAGCACTGAGTTCTGGCTGGGCAATGAGAAGATACACCTGCTGTCCGTTCAGTCTTCTGTCCCCTACGTGCTCAGGATAGAGATGGTGGACTGGGAAGGCATGAAAAAGTAAGGCGTCATGGGAAATGTGGTTATATGACTGACAAAGAGCTGCTAGTTCACTTTGTCAGGCTTTCTAGATAGCATTACATTGTATTGGGATTTGGTCTCGAAGCTCAACTTCAATGAACTTCATGGGGAATTCCACAGATTTCACAAAATGTCTGCATAATTCAGTGGTTGAGATGTAAACAAAGTCATTTAGGGTGTTTTGATGTGAAGCGATTCATTCTAGAGAAACTTACAAACTCAGATTTCTTTACAGTGCTAGTGATAGGAACCAGAGGTCATAATGTGTACAACACAAATGTAGCCATTTTATTTACTGTCAAAAACAACCAGTGAACCTACACGTCTTCTGAGAGTTTATATGTAATATTGATGGCGGTAAAATAGTGGTAAAAGTTAGGAGCGATCTTTTCCGTCTCTTAAGGTTACCATTTTACAGATAAAAATGTTTGTTATGACGGTGATGTATCAGTTATAGTAGGATTCAGAAGCCATGCAGGACTTTTCATCAATGCAAACAAACCTCTGAAAATGAGAATAAATCAATTACAAATGGACATCAATGCCCATAAATGGATGCTTATACAATTATAGAGCCTTTGTTATCATTACATACCTAATGAATCTTTTAATGTTTCTCATTTCCACAGATATGCTGACTACGCAATGTTCAAAGTAGGCCCAGAGGCAGACAAGTACCGTCTGACTTACGCATATTATTTCGGAGGTGATGCTGGAGATGCTTTCGATGGGTTTGACTTTGGTGACGACGCAAGCGACAAGGTCCACACTTCCCATAATGGCATGCAGTTCAGTACAGCTGACCAAGACAATGACAAGTACCATGGAAACTGCGCTAAGCAGGACGGCTCTGGGTGGTGGATGAACCGTTGCCATGCTGCCCACCTGAATGGAAAATATTACAAGGGTAAGAATTCGCAAAGACGTCTAGTGACGAGAACTTTAGAAATGAAAATGGAAGTTTTGAAATTGAGTCAAGTGGTCCGATGGCTCCCATTGCTCGTAAGCAGAAAGTCCTACACGAGAGTCCTTCCTTCAAACAAGTTCCCATAGCAAGCAGTTAGCTTTAGCTAAGACATACTTTGTTAGCCTGCTAAGTATCTCGGATATAAAAGTAGATGTTAAAGAGAATGAATTTGAAGTTTCAATTGCTGAATTAATTTGATATATTCATTCAAACCTTTTAACGAAAGGCTTGAATCCTGTTTGAATATCCACCTCGTTTTCCACATTATTCCATATGATGATTTCACATTATATTGTCTGAAATTCAGAGCTCAAAGTCAGGACTCAAAGCCCATCTATTCTCATTTTTATGAATAGTATTGCTCTTTTTTACAGGCACATTTATTTTTCTATATATTTGTCATCACTATCATTAATGCTAATTTTAGAAATGCGCAGCATGTCATGAAGCTGGCTTGTAACTATCGTTTAGCAAGTTGGAGATTCCCCACAAGGGGCAACATTAGCGGTCAAAACTCCTTAATATCCTTAATATCTTTTATGTATGTGTAAAGCACTTTGAACTGCCTCAGTGTACACCCTTTAAAATGTTTCTTCAAGGGTTCTTCAGTGAAGGCAATGGTCATATATAGAACCGTGAGCACGTTTGAAAGCATTAATACTACAAGTCATTTTGGAACCCTTTTTGCTAAAAGTGGTACAAAAGGTGATATAAATAAAATAGCCTTGTCCTGCCTATATGCTAAACTAGTCTGCTAGCTTTCTTGCATTATTAGCAAGTAAGTAATATCTCTAATACTTAGTAGGTAAGTGATGTCTTCTCTTAATGCTCCACAGGTGGTAAGTACACCGCGAAGGACGCTGGTCAGCACGGTTTCGACAACGGTATCATCTGGGCCACGTGGCACACCCGCTGGTACTCTTTGAAGCAGACCACCATGAAGATCATTCCTATCAACAGAATCACAGCTGGTGGCCAGCAGGGCGGTGTCGACAGCTTCGGCAAAGGAGACTTCCCGAGCCCTTAGACACACAACAGTTTCTCCTCTGAATTCATGGTTTTGATGGAAAAACCATTGGTGAATTAAAGGTGTAAAACATCTGTGACAGTTTTACTGTCAGTGTCTGTGTTTCGCATCTCTAATCTGATGCAGAGTTTTACATGAATTCTATTTTTTGGATCATAGATATTCCAGAAGTCATGTGTCTTGTATTACAGGTCACATGACCTTGTTTTACCCAGTCGCACAATGGCTAGCTAAAGTTTTCTCACTGGAAATTTGTTAGTTGATCAAACTATTCAGTTTTCAAATTGTTTAGTTTATTAAGGTGCTCAAATAACCACAAATAAACCCTTCCACCTTTTGTAATGAAAGAGTTGTGTGTGTTTGTACTACGTTAATGGACAACATACAGTCATACAGTAATAACTTTAGGTTCATGGGTCATTCAAACGCATGACGGTCTAAAAGAAAAGAATATGTATTTCATTAGAAATTGATGAAATCAAGGTTTTTTGGGCATTAAAAAACTAGCACAAAGAAATGGCTTTTTTCCTTATGTATATAAAAAATCCTTTGCTTGCTGATCTGTTGAATCCAGTGTCAGAGACATGCCATGTATGTGTGCTTGTTTGATGACGTGTTTGTCCTGCCAGTCCTGTGTGGGTGTATTTGCTTCTGCATGGGTGGTCAATAAGTCAACATTGCCACACTTTTCTCTGATAGTATGTTACCATGAGATGGTCCAGGCCATGGATCTGACCCTGATGTTCAACATCGGGGGAGGATTTCTTAATCACAGCCTAGACTTGGGCCGACCCACCGATCAATAGACAGTTAACACTGAGTCAGCAGTTTTAAGGCAGAATCACAGACAACATGCCTCCAAAGTGTCCCTGCTTGCATTCAATTGCAGGAACTTCAGTCCAAATGCAGCGTATTTACACACTTTTCACCATCACCCCAAATGAAGGTTGCTTCTTTAGTTTGGCTCTGGAGCTACCAGGCTAAAGTAGCTGACAAGTAATGCAAGCTTGCAGCTGCAAAGTTAACATTGCACAAATTGCATGCCTAAATATAATAACCTCAAACAACACTGAGTTGTTATTTAATCTGATTCTACAACTTAAGACCAGTTTTGTAGGTTCAGTGGTGCATCTTTAAAGGTATATTTAGTCAAGCAGCCAAGACATGTTTGGTTCTTTGGTTTTCTAATGGAGCTATGAGGCTAATTTCGCTGGTAAACAAGCTGTAAACAATGTTAGCAAAGTCTGAATTTTATCAGTACTTTTGCTCATTTTATAGGTAAAAGTATATCATATACGGTCAAAAAACACATAAACAAGTTACTTAGAGAGGAAGTCTAAGCATTCAGTTTGCACAATGCTAAATAATGATTAAAACCCTCCATCAGTTATTAGCTACATTGGTCTTGTAGCTCCAGTGCAAACATATCTTGGCTGACTGACTAAATATTGTTTTAATGGTGCACTGCAGAACCTACAACTGTGGACTCTAATTGTATATTCAGATCAACAACTCAGTGTGGTTTGAACCAAGTGCAGGATTATTTAGGTGTGAAATTTGCGCAATAGTAACCAAGCAACTATAAGCTTACGTTACTTGTTAGCTACTTTAGCCTTGTAGCTCCAGAACAAAACTAAAGAAAGCAGGGTAGTTCAGCAGGGTAGTTCATTCCACACTGCTCTAACATAGGAGCAATCTTCACAGTATGGTGAGTTTTACAAAACGTTAATAATTGATCTTCTGAAATTTTTGACCAACAGTTTGACTGTAACCTGTTTGTGCTTGGATATTTTATAAAACAACATTTCTTAGACTGATGGAACTTGGAAAAATGGAACTTAGAAAAATGACCATAACAAATAAAAAGGAATAAAAAAATATATTTATTACCCCACTAGGTGGCACAATTTCACGTGTTTTGATCTCTTCCTTAATAATGACATATCAGTCCCTAAAAACACAGCATTGATTTGAAATGGTGTTCTTCATACCTGTTTGTTTATAAATCGATGTCAGTGCTACATGTCAAATGAGTCCCTTTGTTTAGTTTCTGTTCATTCAATAACATGTAAGTACAAGAATAATGGCAGGACGTAGTTACTGGCAGGAACTAGTTACCAGAGATGGCACGATACCACTTGAGTATTTGCCAGTACCGATGATTTTTCTTTAAAAGCTACTTGCCTTTAAATTGAGCTATTTATGAGCTAAATACACAGCTAACATCACATCACACAATGTGAATGGGGCTATTTCAGGCTAGAATTCCTACAGATTTGGATCAGATTCATTCTTTTTTTCTTTTGATATCCCATCCAGCATTTTTTTGTTGATAATGACCTGATACCAATACCCATCAATACCAATGTGTCATCTGTACTCATTACTATACAAAGGTTTGGCCACCACTCATCACATTACTGTTGATTTTTTAAGTGAAAATCATTAATCATTAATATAATCAATTTATCATTAATATATAGCATTTAATAAACTGAAAATATAACATAAAATGTGGCATGTGCAAAAGTTTCTCTAATATGATCAATTCCGGCTCTAAAAAGAAATTGTGCTCTAAAATGTGCAAAAAAAACACCATATTCACAAGGGTATTCCAGCCTATAACTAGCATTTAATATGTTATTTATGGTGTTATGCAGTATCCTGTAGTGCAACACTGCATGTCTCAGCCTCATCAGTTTGACGGAATTCACAATTTTGTATTCTTTTTGTGTTTTCAGCCATCATGTTCTCTCATTAAATTACCCAATAAAGAAATGCCGACTGCTCATGTAGCCAATGATGTAGATGCTAATAAATACACACATGATATTCAGCTTCAGCAGTTTAATGGCAATCTGTCTTCCTTCTTCATTGGCCAGCCAGCAGAAAAAAAAACTTTTTTCTCCCACCTTCAAGACGCATCATCAGAAGGGATTTTCTACTCTTTAAACTGGAAAATCTTGCTCTAGGGACTACTGCGGCTCCACTGTAGGAAGCAAGCAGGCATGTTTACAACAAGTGATGAAATGGTTACATTAATCACTTTGGCCAAAGTGTCCTTTTAAGTTTGTTCTCTCTCTGTTTTCTGTGTTTGCTCATTTGCAAGTTTAAAAAATGAACAATATATACGGTAGAATAAATGTTAGGTTGTTCATGAAAGTAGAAATTAATCCCTGTAGGTCAATAAGGACACTATAATGAGTTTACAAAAAGTATAAAACTACCAAAACAAAAAAAGGTACAGTTATTTTACAGCTGTTGATTTGTGTGTTACGGCCCTTGGCTGAACACTGACTGGTCACTCTTGACAGCTGGATTAACTTTCTCCGCTTGTGCCCTAGGGATTAGCTCTCAATCCCACCTTTAATCTCTTCACTAAAGGCCTATGTTTTCTGAGCTCTGATTGTAGAAGCTCAGTGTTCATGCTGGAGGAGGATGTCTCTGTCCAGAATGTAACCTCTGGATGTAAAACTAACCTGACTAGCCCAAGTTTTACATTGTTTTATTGTTTTGGAATACGTCTGTCTTGCTTCAGCGGTGAGTGCTGATCATGACACTAATTGAGGAGGGACCTTCATGCTCAGTCACTGTTCTCAGGTAAACTGAAGGTTGTTGTTTTTGCTGTCTTCCAACCTCTCGTTATCTGTTAAAATTAAACAGGCCGTGCCTTTAAGACTGATATATGTAAAGGAGCTCTCTTCTGATTGGCAGATTTTGTTGTCTTTTGTTCAGAAAGCACTTCATGCTTTCAGAACACTCTTTACTTTAGTATGAATGGGAGGAGCTAAACTGATTTAGGCTGAATAGGTGGATATATGTAAACTTATCATGATGTTGCTGGGCAACCATATTTTATTGTTAATGAACTGCTTGGTGGACAAGCTTTAAAGAATGAGCCAAAAACCCATTCAGCCTATGAGAGATTGTAGTGTGCTATTGTTCAGACAGGTTTTTGTCAAAATATCTACATTTGGAATGCATAATTCATTTAAATTGTATATGTCTGTGAAAGGTTAGACAAGTCTGGGTGTAGTTTTTATGTATTAGAGATGGGATTTTTTTCTTCTTAGGAATATAGTGTTGTTAGATTTTTAGGAATAAAATTGATTGACAGGCTTCAGCTGTTTTATGATTGCTAGCTAGCCCAGTTAGCGTTGTAACCAACCCCAATATCTACTGTAGCATGGCTGAAGTTACTCCAAGGGATTTGCAGAGAACATTTACCCTGTTGCCATTTCCATGATCACAGACTGGCCGCTTCTTTAAGTTCACTTCCTTGTTTCTACACTCATTGTCCAATTTATGGGCTCCACTGACCTTAAACGTGCACTCTGTAGATCTACAATTACAGACTGTAGTCCATCTGCATACTTTGTTACCCCCTTTAATTCTGTTTTTCAATGGTCAAGACCCCCACAGGACCAGACAGAGCAGGTATTATTTGCGTGGTGGATCATTCTCAGCACTGCGGTAACACTGATGTGGTGGTGGCGTTTTAGTGTGTGTTGCGCTGGTATGAGTGGATCAGACAGAGCAGTGCTGCTACAACGGTAGAATGACACATTTGTGGGTGGAGCATGGATACATCAATTGTTTATTGCTTAACCATGGAAAGTCAGTGTGCAAAATACCCCCTGGTATTCGGGGGGTCCCATGTTGGCTGGCTGCTAACTCCCTCAGTGGCAACGACAGTAGCTTCAGTGGCAACAAAATGTTTAACAATTATTCTTTTGGAAGTGCTCTTTTCTAGATTGGTAATGCAATTTTCTTTGGTTTGATAAATAACTGTAACTCTATTCATTGATCTCTTGGGAAATTTTTCAGATTTACTAATATGCTGCAGCATATTGTAAAGTTTTTCAGAGGTATCCCGGGCATAGTTACAGTTGCTAGGCTAAGAAGGACCAATTGGGTGAGCAAATTTACTACAGCAAAACATCATGAGTTTATTTTCAGCGATTCAGCATCCTGAACCCCCTGGGATTCCCTGTATTTCACACCTTGGGTAAAATCACTGTAATACATCATCTTGGGTGTCTTATTGCTTTATTTACTAATTATACAAGCAAAACAAGTGAAAGTTAGCATCGACACATCACCTCCACTGCAGTGTCCATTGAAGGCTGCTAGCCGGATTAGAGTTGAGGTCAGAAGTGGCTGGTGATTAGAGTTAAGAAGCTAACTGCAGATTTGTAGAGTGGGTGAAAGTTCTTCTTCTCAGAAAAGACCCAGCTGTTGATACACTGACTGTCTGCCCCTGATTAATGTCAACACATACGCATGTGCACACAATATACTGCATACCTTGACCAAAAAAAAATAGCAGAACATTAAGCTTTTAAAGGTCATAACAAAAAATCATTAAACAAATAGAGAAAGTAACTTAATATGGGAGATTTTTTTTTCTTTTGATTTCTTTAAATGTTGAAGTTTTGTGTGTAAATTTCCAGACGCTTTACAGAAAGACGAATCAGTATTTTCCACTCAGCACTGATGGCTTCAAGCAGTTG